CCCACGACAGGTTTGAGACCAAAGGTTTTGTGAGCACCGGGTGCTCTGTGTCAGAGGGATGCTCCTGTCTCTGGCGTGGTGTGTGTTTCATACCAGGCAAACACCACCATGACCCCACCCCAGCAGTGGGGCATGGAGGGCATGAAGAAGAAGAAAAAGGACAGGACACACCCAATTTCTTCCATTTTGTCCTCTTTGGACCCATTACCTAGAATTCTAAAATTTTACTTTTGCACCCGTGCGACACTAATTATTATTCATATGAAACACTCAGAGCTTGTAATTCATCCTGTGTGATTGAAAACTCTTTTCCATGGACAGAGATCACAGCCAGTGTCTCTGGGGGCTCTGTCCAGGGGGGTTCCTGACCCCTGCCAGGGTCCCAGTCCTGCCAGGGCTACCTGGATGGATGCCCTGGATTCCCACATCAGGGCATCCTGGGGGTGCCCAGAGGCTGTGCCAAGGAGCTGACCCAGAGCCACAGCAGGAGAGATGGATGTGCCTGGTGCTTGCCTCTCCTTTCCCTGGGGGTTTGGAAATAGATGTAATGAGGGATATCTGCTTCCCAGTATCCTCTGTGCTGTGTGATGGATGTCCTATGACCTCATCCCTGCAGGTGCTATGATGTGGTTACTGTAATATGCCTCGGGCTTTCATGGTAAAAACCTGTTGGAAAGTTTAGGAATATGTATTTACCCTCTTTAAATAGTGACATCTGCCACACTGAATGCTGCTGTTATTCCAGCAGTTTCTTTTGACAAGTTACCATGAGTATCTTCTAGCACCCTGGCCATTTCTGAAGACATGACTCCTGGGTCAGAAGTGACTAATGGAATGTGAGCAGTGATATGTAATGCTCTCAGCTGGGAATTGTTAAGTAGAGGAGCTCAAATAACACTATAAGTGTGGTTAGAGGGTGGATAATGCTGACAGTGAAATGTGTGCTGCATGTGGTATCAGTGTGGGCATCTTAAAGTACAGAAGGAGCAGGAAGCACTTAATTTCCATTCTTCTGCACTTGCCAGGGAATCTTTGACTTCTTGTGAATGTGCTCACACCGTGGACAGGCACTTCTCTACTGCATTATGAAAAAAGTTGCCTACACAGATGTTTTATTATCTGGTTTGGGGATAAACTGGACCAATAGAATCATGGAGTCCTTTAGGCTTGAAAAGTCCTTTAAGGTTAGCAAGTCCAACTGTTAACTCAGCACTGCCAAGTCAGTCACCAAGGAACCCAGGAACTATCATACAACATTATACACAGGCAGGGTTGGGATTTTATTTTTTTTTTGTTTTACATTTGAACCACTATGGTACTATTAAAGAGAAAATTAATTTTTTTTATTATTATTATTTGAAAGAAATGGCCATGCCTGTTTTATATTCTAATCCCAGTTCTTTATTTTCAATAGGTTTGGGTTTGGGTGTGCACAGCACATCAAAAAAATTGAGTTGCTGGGATTTCTGTCACTTTTCTAGCATAATGCATTGCAAGACAAAAAACTGTGTCTGCATTGTTGACAATATTTTGTAAAACATCATTGTTATCCTGCCATAGTAAATGCTGGCGTATTGCTGTCACAGCACTGCACAGGAGTGTATAAACTCTACAGGGGGCATTGGTGTTTTGGGGAGGAATGACAGAAATTGTGCTGTGTAGGCAGAGGGGGACAAAGCCCACCAGAGCAGCAGCTGCTATTTTGGGGTGGTTTTCCACAGCCCACTCATGTGTGTGTTCTGATGAATCAGGGAAGCTTGTGAGCTTTGAGGATACTCTAAAGCCTTCACTAAGGATGTTTTCAAGCCCTTTAATTCTGTCCCCATGAAAGCAAGATGATCCACAAGAAGCATACTAGTTTTTAAAATACAATAGGTGGGGGTTTTTTTTGCTTGTTTTTATTGAGACCATAGACAAAAACTTCTTGACTTGAATGCAGGCAGCTTATTTTCCTTTTATTTTTCTCTTAAAATCAGTAGTTGAGCAGACTGGTAATGTCAACAGGCTTAGCTGTGAGAGAGGTGGAGGTCAGCAGCACTGCTCTGCACACTTCTGTGCTCTCAGATTCATTTTGCAGTTCTGTCACTTTGGCACCTGGGTGAGTAGGACCAGAGTACAGAGAAGGGATGGGAGTTGGGGGCAGACATTGTACAGACTTATTGATCAGTAATTTCATTAGTTCTGCAGATAGAAGCACTGATGGCTTCTCTAAGAATCCATTTCACTTTCTGTGGCTGCTAACATAATGGATTTGGGGGAAAGACTTATGGAAATGAGAAGTAATTGGTAGTATTGACAGAGATGCCAACTTTCACTATTTTTTAAACTCTCCTATTGACTCTGAGTGGCTGTCCAGGCTGACCTCCCAATTAATGCTCTGCTTTTTCTGGCCATTTTCTTATTTCTGTAGGCTGGCTACAGGAATCTGCCTCCCCCTCTGGTGAAGGCAGGGTGTGTAAAGGAAGACACATTAATATCTCTGAAGCACTTAGTGTACTCTTCATGTTTTAAATGTGTGGGTTGGGTTATGTGATTTCATGCCAGAAATAAATTTTCTGTCATCATGTGTGCAGTCAAAGCTGCAGAGGGAATCCATTGTCTCCTCACAAGTAAAGTGGTGCTGAAAATTCCATAGGCTCTTGTCTTTTCTATATTTGTGTACTTGGAAGCTTGAAATTTGTACAAGCAGAGACCTGTGCAAATAAGGAGATGGTTTTTCCCTTTGTATTTACTTATTTTGATAACACAGATGTTTTATTATCTGGTTTGGGAATAAACTGGACCAATAGAATCATGGAGTTCTTTAGGTTTGAAAAGTCCTTTAAGATGATCAAGTCCAACTGTTAACTCAGCACTGCCAAGTCAGTCACCAAAGCATGTCCCCAAGTGCCACATACACATTTTTTAAATACCTTCAGGCATGGTGATTGGACAGCCTGGGCTAGTGCTTGACAACCCTTCCAGTGAACAAACACTGCCTGGTATCCAAGAATCTCTCTGGGATAAACTGGCATTTCCTTGGCTGCACTGACACTGCTCTAATGCTTCTGAGCACAAGTCCAAAACCTTTCTTGAGCACTTTTGTGGATTTTTGTGGGAAAGAAACTATTGGTGCGTGTTAATTTGCTGTGCTGAGACTTGGTTTCAGACAAATATTCTCTTGCAAGACTGGAATTTTATTTCTTTTGTTTTATAAGATAATTAAAATAAAGAACTACAATTTGTGATGACCTGTGCTCCCAAGACAGAGCTGTGCCAGGTGATCCTTGTGGAAGTGATGATAACATTTTCTAAAGAGGAAAAAGAACTGGGAACTCCAGAGTTTTCTCTGACTGATTCTAGAGTCTAAAGCATGCAAGAAAGGAACATAATCTTCTTGCTGTGCTTTGCTTAAAGAACTTGAATAGATTAATGTATAATATTCCTGCTTTCCTAATTACAGTCAAACAGAAATACTTCAACAGGCATGTGAGTAAGAGACACACAAGAGGCAAAACACCTTCTTAATGACCTCTGTGCAGTGGTGAGTCCTGTAAAATCAATGTACAGCAGAGCTGAGTGTCAGAATACCATTGCATTGATCCTGGATTACAGCTAAACTGTAAACAGCCTAATTTGGCTGCTCACTCTTTGGTATTGTGGGCAAACAGCTTTTTAAGGAGATGTTTGCTGAACCTTTGAACTTTCCACAACATGTTTTTTTTCCTTCACCCATCTATTTATATGAGTGTGTGGAAGAGTTCCTTTCTAGTTTGTTGCAATGTACATACCCTATGAACACATTTACTTTTCAGAGAGTTTTATTTAAGTTTTCTTGCTTCCTCATATCTCTGGGATTAACTACTTTTTTGTTATTATTATGAATGTACCCACAAGTATGTGTGCTGACTCCCACTGACTTCAAAGGAATTTAACCAGAACAGAGGAAACTTTCTGGAGCAATCCATTCTTAAGCTCAGTGATCCTTGCAACAGGTCAAAACAAGATAAAGTGAAGCACATACTTTTGGGTGAAGACTTTGCATTTTTGGTCTCTTTAGAACCTGTACTAAATTCTGCGTTGAAGTGGCTAAAAGAAATGTTCAAATTGTATTTTTTGCAGAAAAATAATAACCAATGTGTGCTGGGGTTTAAAAGAGGGAATGATTACTTAAATTGCCATTAATTTTTAATGTTCTTCATGAGTCACAATATCCTTGACTCAACCTCCTGGCAGATTGTTTATGCCTCAGACTGCTTGGGTCCTGCCAGGACTAGATGATCTTTTGTACACCATGTTGTGTTCAAAGAATTTAATCTCCTGACTATGAAGTGAAAACTTTAAAACCATATTAAGGTTTCACAGCCAGAGGCAGAACACTTATTCTTTTAATAATTTTCAAAATTGACTGAAGTTGGATATTAATGTTTGGGTTTTCTTTCCCCCTTGTGCTTGCATGAAAATATCTTTCTGCTGTGCTTAACCTCAGTCAACAATGGCTTGATGATGTGAAGGCAAATCCCTTTCCAGCATGGTCTTCCTGAGAATGAGCAGGGATGGGCAGAGGTTTTGGCCATGGAATTATCTACTGAAGCTGTATAGATCTTTACACTACATGTTCCACCAAACTGTCCTTCAAAAACACCTAATGGGTGTGGGAGGGATTTTTAAAATGAGGTCAGTCTACCAGATTGCTTCTTGCTCTCAGGACAAGTCCTAATGACTGTGATGTGGTGGCCATCACCCTGCTCAAGTTGTTTTCCTATAAATTAATATGTTATCTTGTGCCTTCATACTGAGCATACCACTTCTTCTATCTAAACTCTTTGGGTTACTTTGAAATGATTTAAATTGAAAAGGCTGAGTTCACCCTGAATGCCCCTCTGGCAGGTGGCATATTGGGAGAATAGGTAGTTCTGGCTCTGTTAGTGTGCAGGATGATTGCAGCTTGAGGTGTCACATGTAAAGGCTGAATTAGAGCAGCTCCACATGTCCCGTTTGCTTTGCCGTCTGCAGGAAGGAACCCTCCTTCCTCCTCCTGCCCATTTCTGTAGTGAGAACTGGGGGAAATTAGAGCTGTGGCTCAGTCTGTGGTGACTCCCAAAACTCTCTGTGAAGAGCACTGCAGAGACTGAATTGGACTTACAGGTGAAGTTCCATCTTTGTGATCAATTTGACCGAATTCCAACAGATGCTGTGATGCTCAGTTTCATCCTTTAGCAGGGTGGCTCTGGGCTGAGGAGCAGCCTTGTTTTGTGGCTAAGAGCTGGAGCAATAGCCTGTGGAGTGGCTGCAGCAGGGAGGAGTCAGGCTGTGCTGCTGCCAGCCCTGCCTGGGTGCTGCACTGGAGGGTGGCTGCTGTGCTGCACCAGTGCAGGAGCTGGTGCCACAGCCTGGCACGGGAGCTCTGGGGGACTCCTGAAGGGGACTTGGAGGCTCTGGGACACTCAGCAGTGATGTCCAGTTTCATCAGCACCAGAATTAGTAAACTGTTCATTGAAGTGGTGCCACTGACTGTGTGACAGAGCTGTAAAAGGGTAATAATTCACCTGGGTGTAGTTTGGGGGAAGTAAGAAGGGCCTCCAAGACTGGGATGCTGCCTCAGATGGAGGAATGAGTCCTGTTGTAGTTAAAATGATCTTAATTGCAAGCAGTGACATTTAATGCCAACCAGCTGATCCTTCTTCAAGGGGATTCAGAAGCAGGAAGAAAATGTCACCAAGTATTTTTGTAGGAACAAAGGGCACACTTTCAGCTCTGCTCTCAGTGGCCACACCTAATGATTACCCTGAGGAGCCTTGCCTGTCAAAAACATGCCACTCATCACTGATCTCATTTAGGCTTTAATAAAGCATATGACCCAAAGCTTTTCAATCCAGCTATGCAGATATGATGCCCCATGCATTTAATTAGGGAGCTTAAAAGCCACTAGTGTTTAATTCTCTAACCTAGCCTGTCCCCTCTCCCATCCTTCCTTTGAAAGATGGAACTGTAGTTGAAAATCGAAGGGCTGAGATGGGTGGTCCAATGTATGTGTCTATTATATATATATATATATATATATATATATATATATATATATATATATATATATATATTTTAATGCAGCAGAGGAAGCTGAGCTAAGAGGGTTCCACTTAATATATAAATGACACATGGCAGGTGTCTGGAAGTGGAACAGGAGAGCTGTGGAGTACTTGAAGACTGAAATCATTGAGAGGAATTTTAATGGAGGATTCTGGGTTGGCTTCTTTGCAGGTCCAGGATCCCACCATTTTCACTGTCTAAGAAAAGATTATTTTAAGTACAGAAGCAAAATTTGTTTAAACTGGAAAATGTCAGAGCTTTGGAGAGAATTAGTAACCAATAATTAGTCAAAATAATTGAGGTTAGAAACAAGAATCTTCTTACAAGAAATGAAAAATCATATTTTTCAGAAGATTATGGGTAATAAAAATTTCAGGAGCCACTCTCTTGGGTTTACCAACCAGATAGAGTTTTGAACTGCATTTTCTCCATATCTCTTGTGAAGATAGAATTATATGCATTAAAAGTTCTATAATAATCCCTTCCCCCCCCCCATTTTTGACCGTTGGAAAATTGTTCCCTGCAGTTTTTCTCTAATGCTTTTTCTCCAGCCTGCTTTTAAATGATGCAATTGATGGGCTTCCAAAACTGATACAATGCCTGAACTGTAGGTACTAAATCTCCTTGAACTTCTGGCTGAGCAGAAGAATTGAGTCACGATTCTCATATATTAAAAATTTAAAGGCCAGATTTCCTTTGCAATTTGCACGTCCAGAATTTCAGTTGAATTTATGCCTTCTTTTTTTCTTTTTAATTTTTTTCCATATGAGACTGAGCTTATGAATGGGTTTTGTATCAAGTTAATTGTATTTTTTATCAAAAACTTTGCCTAAATCTTAAAGCCCAGCATCCTAACTCTGACAGAATCTGTGCTGGGCAGGAGGAATGTGAAGCAGCTGCTGGCAGGAGCAGCAGCAGCAGCAGGCTGGCAAACATGAACACCTCAGTTACTGCTTGTCAGTCCTCATATCCTGAGCTGCTCATGGAGTTTTTATCTTGAATGAAAAGGCTGCTTTGCTGTTTTTTGGGTTTCAAGTGGTTTTTTTTGTTTTGTTTTGTTTTTTTTTTTGGTTTGTTTGTTTGGATTTGTTTTCCTACAGAATTTCTCCTTTTAGTGGAGTTAGAGATTCCTGAGTGAGTTGCACGCAAGTGCAGCTTCAGAATCAGTCTTTTGGCTTATGCTGCGATGTTGGAAAAAGCTTTCCTGTCTACTTCTGGTTCTCCCTGTGAAGCAGATTATTTAGCTGTGCTACATGAGAGGGAAAATGTCTGCATAATTCAGGGAATGTTGAAAAGGGCAAGCACTCTCAAGATAAGCAAATAAGTTAGTTTCAGCCATGTCAAATATAAAACCCCTTCTGTTTTCCTTTTTTAAAACAACAGAGGCTAAAATCTACCAAAAATATTAGTGCTGTCTCCCAGGAGACAGAGTTGCCACAGCTAAAAGGAGCACAATTTCCTTCCCATGATGTGATGCCACTGGATGATCAAAATATGATAAAGTGACATGGTCAAAGTCAGTATATCTTACTGCCTTTTATCCATGTGACGATCCTGGCTAGTAGAAATGAAAAAGGGAGAAGGCAGAAGATGTTCCACACTCTGCCTGAAGTGCTCAAAGACTTTTTGCCTCCTGAGAGAAATCTCATCTCCTGCAGCTGCTGTGTTATTGTGCTGACTTTCATAGTGGGCTTTGGAACTGATCCAGAATTTATTCCCATTTTGGGAGGCTTTCTGTCAACTCAAGATCACTGCTTCTTGCCAGCCACTGCAGCAAAATGAGTGATAGTTCACAGGTGTGGAAAACCCACTATATTCCTGGAGTTTTCATTTGATTACCTAATTGTATGGTTTTAATTTCACACACCAGAACTATCATTTGCAACCTTGAATTTTAGAAAATAACATAGGAGCTGAACATTAGGAACTTTGATTTTTTTATATTTTTTATGATGAGATCTTTCTCTTGCAGTTAAAATGTTTTTGATTCAGTATCCTATGCATATGTAATGTAGGGTTTGCTATTTCCTCAAGTATTATTTGAGAGGGGTCAATTTAAATATAAAATAGAAAGTCAATGATATGAAATTTTTATTTTAAAAGTTGGCATGACTTTTTTAAAGCAGTATAGTTATCAGAGGTGTTATCTTCACTTTCAATAATAAGATGGTGGCATTTTGGGCCATAAAGATATGAGAAATAAGTTGCTTGTAAGCTAAAGAACACAGTGTGGTCATGAAATATAATAGAGAAAGTGCAAGATTACCTCCACAGCCATTGCCAGCATTGAGAGAACAGAGAACTGGCATGAATCCACCTCTTGTGAAGAGCAATGCATCTTGAGAGTTGGGTATTGGAACCCATTTGGGATTCTCTGTTCACAAAGGTGAAGACCATATTAAGTCTTTGCTTGGGGGAGAGAGGGAACTTTGCCTGGGATTAGATATGTACTCCAGGGAAGTGCAAAAGCAGTCATTTAGAGGGGTTGGGGGAGGAAAGGTAGCATGAATATTTTAGTCAAAGAAATGCTCTTCATCCAGGAGGGTCAAAGGGACTTGAAGAATTCAGGGTATGTGAAGATGAGAGCTCTGGCCTGGAGGTCACTGTGTGTACCAGGACAAAGGATGGATAGAGGCCACAGGAATGCTCAATTAGCCCGAAGATGCCAAGAAACACCCAGAAAAGTCAAGGGAAAACCAAGGGTATAATCACAACTTTCCAGGGAGTATTAGAATCTTCATAAATAGTCAGGTACCAGGATTTCACCCCATGTATCAATCACTATTTCTCTCAATTTCTGGACCTCCCAGTATTTCCAGGGATGGTGCAAACCTAATTTAAATTGACTGGAGAATTGCTTTGGTTAATTATCTGTTCTGGAGCACTTAAGAAGTAATTTGCAGACCCCAGTGACCTGCAGTCTGACAGGCCCCCCAGCTCCAGAATCTGGGTCCTGCTGTGAGCTCTGGGGTAGATCAGAACCACTACTATCAAAACTGGAGAAAATAATCTGGACTGAAGTGCAAGTTGGAGGTACCTGACCTCTTCAAAGTACAGCAGAGCTGTGAAGTCCTCCTTTCCCCTCAAGGACAGAAAATATGATCCTTTGGAAAATGGATGCTCATTTACAGCTGCTGCACCTGGCTAGTCTCTGCTGCACAAAGGCCAGAGCAATACAGTGAGCAAAAGGCCAGGGATCAAACAGCTTGTTATATTTTTCTCCTCCATCTCTCATCAATCAATGTACCAGGGGTGTAAATTTATGACTTTGCTCTATGTGCAAACCTTCCCAAAGTTCAGGGTTGGTTGGATGGAGCAGAGAGGACAAGGTACTGATCTCTGGCACTTGTGAAGCAATTCTGTCAAGGGAATTTATCTGCCTGCAGGACCAGACTGCTGCTGCCTCAGGTGCTCTGGAAATAATCACCCTGTGCTGGCCAGTTGCTGGTGAGTAGGGCGAGTGTATCCAAAACCACCTCAAAAATCAGCCTTGGCAAAGACACATTAATGAAGGAGATCAGAACTGGGGCTGTGTATTTGGAAATGCACTGGTATTTTATGCTTTATGGATAGCATTTACCCATTAGTCCATCAAATTGTGTGCTGCATTTTTGTTTTGAAAACAGTCTAAATAGAAGAAAATATTCTGGAGCAAACAGAAAAAACTCATGCTGCATTATGCTGAGTTTTCCTCTGACTTTATTGCCTTTATTCTGCTGCAGCTACAAAAAACTCATTTAAACTATGAAAGTTCTTTGGCATGGATTCTTTATATTGATGAAACAGAGCTGACTTTCTCTGGAGAGCCAGAATGTTATTAAAGCACTTAACCTAGCACTGCTGTGGCTATCAATTATGCCCTTCATTTACACTATACAGGGCTGACGGCTTATTTGAAGTTCAAGAGGTTTTTTTAATGAGATGTTAATTGAGTACACCTGCAGTTGGCTAAAATTTTCATGGACAATTAAGTGTGATCTTTTGCCTTCCTAAATTCTTTGTTTTTCCTGGGTTTCAATACTATGTTTCAGCAAGTGTGCTCAGTGTAGAAGTGTGGACTTTTAGTGTACAGCAATTACAACAATGATCAATGTTTGTGATTTTTGATTAACCCTTTAAGATTATTGCTGAAGTCACTGTGTGTCATGGGTTGACCCTGGCTGGACATGAGGTGCCCACCAAAGCTGCTCTCTCACTCCCCTCCTCAGCTGAACAGGGAGAGAAAATATAACTCAAGGCTTGTGTGCCAGGATAAGAACAGGGAGAGATCACTTATCACTCACTCATTGCCATCACAGGCAAAACAGACTCAGCTTGGGAGAAATTAATTGAATTTATTACCAATCAAATCAGAGTAGGAAAATGGGAAATAAAACCGAATCTTATAACATCTTCTCCCACATGCTTCTCTTCAATCTCTGAGAAATTTTCCCTTCTGGACTTCCTTTGTAATTCTGCAGTTCAGCATATCTGACCTGGTTTGTGCTAAATTAAAGGGTCAATTTAGGACAGTCTGCTTATAGGAGGAATTTTGAAGACAAGAAAATAGATCAATCAGACCAAAACAAAATCCAAAGCAAAACTTTTTAAAATACCAGCTTCAAACAGATTCTTTCATGCTAAACAGTAACAAACCAAAAATTTCTAAGTATTTTAGTGTTGCATGGAGGAGCTTTTAAGAATGCTTAAGCCTGCAAGGATATATGCACCTGCAAACTCTTCATGTCTGCTTTCATTATCAACTCAGATGGAAAAGGTTTGGAACTATTCCTGATTTACCATTCTTGCCTCACAGATCCAGTTTCCCAGGTCAAAGTGTTCATGACCATTTGCAGTGCAAAGGATTATTAACAATGTACCCATTGCTAATTAAGAACATGTAAATAATGAACTGCAAAATGATGGAGGTTGGAAGAAACCTGTGGAGGTAATTTGGTCCAGCTCTGGCCATATGATGCAGCACTTGGCCACAATGATACTGTACTTTTGGAACCTGAGGACTAAACTGTTTTCAAGGTACTGTTAAGGAGATAACTCCATGGTTATAATAATTACATTGTCTGGGAGCTCATGGGACCAAGGACTAAAACATTTCTAGTTTGGCTGATGGATTCTGGGTGTCTCTACAGTGTCTTTCTGCTCATCAAGGCTGTGGGTGTTGCTTACAAGTAAGGTCTTGGTGTCAGTCCCTCGAGCTTCAGATAAACTAAAGCTGCAGACCACACTCTCCCTCTTATCTCTAAAAAGTTATCACTTTCTGCATTAGAATATTGTATTTCAGACATGTATATGATTATTATTAGAGAGCAACATGAAATAGCAAGTAATTTAGAAAGGCCAAG